TATGCCGACAGTCCACCTCGGAGCGAGGTTGGCTTATTTCGCGGAAGAGGCCGAGTCGCTGCGGTCCCGCTGCAAAAAACTAAAGGGAGAATTTTCGGGCAAGTTCCGATCGTACTTCGGAAAGATGAAGATCATCTCGGAGGAATTGACTAGGAGAGCTGAATCCAAGTCCGATAATGATAGGCTCAGGCGCTCGGTAGCGTCTCTCACGCGAGAAGTGAAGTCTCTTCACGAGGAGATTCTCTCTCTCAAAAGGGAGAACAAGAGGCTCATGCTGGAGAACCAAAGGTTCAGGGGCAATAATGATGGGAATGTGGACTTCCCTATGACGGCGAAGGAGACTTCCTCCTCTCCTCCCCGGCCAAAAAAGAGGTCCCCGCCTAGGGATGCTCTGGGGGATACTAGAAAGAAGTCTTACAGCGAGGCGTGTGCGTCGACCGCTCAGACAGGCAGGGAGTTTTTCAGCTTGCCTATAGTAGAGGAGAGAGTGGCTACGGCGGTATTTAGTCGCATAGTCGACCTATTTACCTCTCACGGACTCTTTGCTCCTCAGGCGTTGGCTGCGCCTGAAGGAAAGAGAAAAGCTGGTGCTCTCAAGAAGGTTGAAATCAAGGAGACCTCCAGTGGAGCTGAGCCTCCCACTGAGAAGCGGCGGTTATCTCTGTCCAGGAGATCCTTTCCCGAGGCTTCCGATCCGTCGACTACCGATGCGTTTCCCCCGTCTGCTACCGATACGGATTGGGAGTGGAGAACTGTGGAGAGAAGGACCAAAAGGAGAAGGGTCTTGAGGAAGGACCTGAGAGATTCTCCTCTTCCCCCCCCCTCTACCCAGTCTGGGGAAAGGAGGGAAGGGAACCCCTCAGGAGGTAAAGGATGTCCGGAGTGGAAGGAATCAGGAGGGAAAGGGTTCGGGCTCCGTCTCTGCAGTCGTTCGCAAGGATAGACGTCGCCCTCCTAGATCATCTGTAGTCATCATTAACTTCAAGGACAAGAGCGTCACTTCCGAATCCTTCCGGAAAATCAGAGAAATGGTGGTGCCCAGTCAGCTCGGTATTCTTCGCTCGAGGACTAGGTATACCGGCTCTGGTGACATCCTCATAGAGGTCCAGGGAGAGGACAATTCGGCCCAGGCGGACCTCTTGGCCGAGAAAGTTAAACAGGTGGCTAGCCCTAGTGTCAAGGTCTCGCGTCCGGTTCGTATGGCGGAGGTCAAATTGTACGGCCTGGATGACTCCGTCACTGATCAGGAGATTGTTCGCGCGATCGCGGAGTCTGCCGGCTGCAAACCGGACAGTGTTGCTCCAAGCGAGCCTTTTAAACTCGCGAATAAACTCAACGTGGTGTGGATTAAGTGTCCCCTCGTCGCTGCGTTGAAGTTGGCTCGGGAAGGTCGACTGACCATCGGTTGGTCTTCGATCAGGGTCTCCCTGATGCCCCAACGCAAGGCTCAGTGTTTTCGTTGCCTGGATTTCGGTCATCTTAGCTCTGCCTGTAAGAGCGAAGTGGACAGGTCGGGCTCTTGTTATAAGTGTGGTGGAAAGGGCCACATCGCTAAACTCTGTGCTGGCGAGTTACGGTGTGTTCTGTGCTTCGAGGCCGGAATTCAGTACAATCATCGGATAGGTAGTGCTCGGTGTGGTGCGATAAAGTTCCCCGGCAAACTTAAGCCAGTTCGGAGGCTGGCCCCCGCGGAGGAAGTGCGCATGGAAGTGAATGGCTAGAGTGCTCCAAATTAATCTCAACCATGACAGGAGGGCCCAGGATCTCATGGTTCGCTGGATGTTTGAGCGGATACCCGTTGCCGTCGTCTCGGATCCCTACAGGACTTCTGGAGCAGGTATGTGGTACACATCCAAAAGCCAAGCATGCGCCATTTTGGTCCTGTATAACAGGGGGACCATCTCTTCCACGGTCGTTAAACGTGGAGCCGATTTCGTAGTCGTTTCGATCAACGACTTGCGTGTAGCGAGCTGCTACTCTCCTCCGAGTAGATCTGCGGCGGAATTCGGGTTGCTCCTCCACGAGCTACATGACTTGATTGCTGACTCTCGATGTCGCACTATTATCGCGGGTGATTTTAACGCTTGATCCACCAGTTGGGGTGACCGAATCACAAATGATCGCGTGGGGCCCTGGAGGATTGGCTCGACATGGCCAGCTTTGGGGTGGTGAACGATCGGGGTGTGCCGACATTTGAGAGGCAGGTCCGTCATCGACCTGTGTCTCGTGCCCAGTGATTCCTCTCGGGAGTTCGTGAGGTGCTCGGTGGACACCGTTAATTGTTCGTTCTCGGACCACAATTACATTTACTGGGATATCGCGAAGTCACGTTCTAGGGAGTCCTTCACGAAATGCGCTGTCAAAGATTGGAGCTTTGATAAGATTGATAAGGATAACTTTAAAAGATCCTTCTCTTCGGCTTTTGATGAGGCCGGTCAGACCGTTCTGAGTGCGGATCAATTGGTGAAACGGGTTACGGACGATATTTCCTCCGCGTGCGATGCCTCTATGCCCAGGATCAGGACCAATCATCGAAGGAGGGTCTACTGGTGGACGGATGAGATCGCGGCTCTTCGTTCTGTCTCCATCAGGGCAAGGAGACTTTACACTCGAGCGAGAGGGAAGAGGAAGCCTGAGGATCTGAGCGACTTGCGCCGTTCCTTCGTTAGAAGCATGAGGGCGGTCAAAGCTGCGATCAATAAGTCTCAACAGGCGGCGTGGAATGAACTTATCGGTGAGATTGACAGAGATCTGTGGGGTTGTCCATATATTATAGTGATGAAGCGTGTCAGAGCGCGTGAGTCTCTTTCCCCGGTGGACTATCTTCCGATGTCTCGTATCGGAGACATCGTTCGTCTGCTCTTCCCCGATAAGAGTAGGATCGCGTGGCAGAGATTGAGTGTTGTCGGTAGCGTTCCGGAGGTCACCTACGTCGAGGTTGACCTGGCGCTCAAGAAGTCTTGCTCCCGCAGAGCAGCTCCGGGCCTTGACGATATCACGGCCGCCGTTGCCTCCCTGGCTCATCTCGTGAACAATCGCTGCCTTGTTACCTGCTTCTCGAGATGTCTTAACAAGGGCATATTCCCCGTATTGTGGAAGCGTGCGAGGCTAGTTCTTATTCGCAAGCCTGGAAAGGAAGATGATTTGCCTTCCTTGTTTAGGTCTATTTGTTTGCTTAGCGATATGGGCAAGATCTTGGAGCGTATTGTTGCGGGCAGGATCTTGGCTCATTTGCGGTCTCTTCCGAATAGCGGCCTAAACCCTAACCAATATGGTTTTAGGGTCGGAAGATCGACGTGCGACGCGATCATCAGAGTGCGAGATATCGTCGACGAGCATAATGTTGAGGGCAAGCTGTGTCTTGCAATTAGCATCGACATAAAGAATGCCTTTAACTCGCTCCCTTGGGGCTGTATAGTTGAAGCTCTGATTGGTAAGGAGGTCCCCTCCTACCTTGTAAATATTGTAATGGACTACCTCTCCGATAGGTCGATCATAGCGGTTAAGAGTAGTGGAGTATTGCGTTCCTACTTGATGTCATGTAGCGTTCCTCAGGGCTCCGTTCTGGGCCCTCTCCTTTGGATCATGACGTATGATTCTATACTTAGCGTGGGTTTTCCTAGAGGCGTGCACGCGGTTTGCTTCGCCGACGATACCCTGTTGCTCGTGGCGGCTGAGAACAGGGATGTGCTGTACAATAAGGCGAACATTGTATGCGAGGTACTTTTACAGCACATCAGAGCGTTGGGCCTGGAGGTTTCCCCGCTCAAGATCGAGGCAGTACTCTTCTCGCCGAAGAGTGTCAAGTCGGAGCCCTTCCGATTTGTGTTTGACTCCGTTCCGGTTGTAACCAAGGCGGTGATGAAATATCTGGGGGTGGTCATTGATGAGCGATGGAGATTCTCAGATCATTTGAGTGGCGTGGCACTGAAAGCGGGGAAATTTCTTAATGCCCTTAGCGCGTTAATGCCCAACCTTCGCGGGCCTTCGACCAATAAGCGCATGTTGTACGCGAGTGCTGTGCATTCTGTAATGCTCTACGCGGCCCCTGTGTGGGCATCGGTCCGTGTATTTAATAATAAAAATCTGCGGCCCATACACAGAGTGCAGCGTCGTCTGGCTATCAGGGTGATATCGTCTTACCGAACGGTCTCTTTTGTAGCGGCCACCCTGTTGGCCAGGATACCCCCATTTCGGTTAATGGCGGAGAACCGTAGATATGTTGTTGTATCCCGGATGGGCTACAACGTTAATTTTAGAGATAGTCGGGTTTGTTAAGCCTAAGGAGTTGGGACTCCGAGCAGGATCAAACGAATGGAAGGAAATCTTCTTGAAATCACTAACACACTTTCTTTATGTTACTTGGTTTATTTAACAATTGCACAATTTCTTGGATTTAGTATTACTTATTTTATTTCTTTCACACACGGTTAAACGTCGGCGGGCGCGTATCGCGTTACTCTGGCGGCCGTCGACCGAATATGTCACCTGAGACGCTGATAGTACGGGTGAACTTTGCTGTGCTTGTGTAATATCTTGCGCGATAATTATAATAACGATTCCGAACGACACGTTATGTTTGATTGATTCCCGACTCTATCTATTCCGCCTTGTGTAACCGGTTATATAGTCTGATCGATACCCGGTCAGCATTCTGATCGATTGCGTCGATCGGTTGCGTGATATTGATTAATCAATATTACGCTCGGTTTGATCATCAAATTTAGGCATTTGCTGATCAGCTTTTTCGCAATGTTCTCGCGATGCATTTCTGCGGTCTTTCGAAAGACTGGTCGCAATTTCGGCAGTCACACATTTGTGTCATCTTTTGAAAGACTTTTCGAGGTTCATGCGACCTTATTTTGTTGCCATGCGGACTACTTTTATTATTGGTTGTAGACCTGGCTACAACAATGTATATAACATGATTTCGCGGATTGAGAATCGTGCTGGGCATTCTATTTCGAACAGGGCTCGATTGGCCATTAAATCGAAGGGGAATGAGCTTATGTTTAACATGTGGCGAGCGCATATTGAGGAGATGGGTCCCGAGGATCCCGCTCCTCGCACCAGGGGAATTATTTTGCCCCACTTCTTTGTGGATGTCGCGTGATTTTGGCGGTCTGTCGTTTAGATTGACGCAACTCCTGACGGGCCACGAGTGTTTCAGCGTGTATCTGAAAAGAATAGGCAGGTACTATTCCGACGGCTGTGAACACTGTGAGTTCAGGACCGACGATGCGTCCCATACATTAGCGGATTGTGAGGTGTGGTCCTTTCTCCGCGACGTTCTATCGGACAGCGTGGGCAGTGCCCTGAATGACGAGTCGATCGTGCCGATAATGCTCTCTAGCGAGGAGAACTGGAGGCTCGTCGCTTCCTTTGCCGAGGACGTTATATTTGTCAAGGAGTGTGCGGAGAGGGCGAGACAGCGAGGTCCTTTATCGGACGGATAGTGCCGTTAGACTCGTCGTTGAGTCTCGGTGCTCCCCGTTCCGTCGGGAGATGGGATTGGCCTTTTCTCCGCATGGCCAATGGCATCATCCGTTTTTACGCGTATTCCGTATTGCGCCTTTTATGTTTCCTCGTTGTCATTTTTTGTGATGATGTCTGGTGATTTTTGTCGCCACTCGTCTCCTTCTCTCCCTACTTATTATTATTGGAGTTTACGTGTTGTCGCTTCTTTGTGATTGTGTGCTCCTTATCGCTTCTATTTGTTACATATTTGTTATTTATTCATTGTGCTGGATGCCCGGTAGGACGACGCTTGTTGTCGCCATCTCTGTGAGACGTCCCTTTATCGTAGACCTTTTAAGAGGTTATTATCTATATGTAGTTTTCGTCAACTGTGATGGATGTGGCTTATCGCTATGGCCTGGGATGGGCCTAAAGTTATGCTTGGCGTTCCGGGTCCTTCCCATTATGTGTCGTGGTTGTACTCTGTCCTGAGGAGGGGTTTTAATGGGTATTTCCGCTTATCGGATGAGTCCCACACTACCTGGGGGGAACGGTTGCTCTCCAGGTGTGCGTAAATGCATTTTCCCCTACCTCCGTAAAAAAAAAAAAAAAAAGATCGCT